ACTAATACATCTACATCCTTTCGTCTATTCAGCACATATTAACTTGAAGAAAAAACTAAACTTCGCGAAAAAGTGTCTTTTCGGATTCATCATAGTCGTTAGCGTAAAAAATTTTTGTTTTCAACCAGATGTATTGCCAAGAAGTTTGAGGAAATTAAAATATTATTTTGCTACGGAAACATTTTTTGATCGAAAAATTTTTCCAAACTTTTGGCAGTACGTTTCGTTAAAACAGAAAAAGCTTTTGCGTTATCGATTATGTTACACTTGAAACAACGTTTTTCCGTGACTCCGCAAGGATTCTATTTTTCTATTAGTAATACAGAGTCTATAATTTCAACCATTTGAATATTATGCACCGCCGCAAACACAAATCATCAAGAGAAAATCTGATTAATATTCTATACGAGCGGGTCCAAAAGATGAAAATCAGAGAAAGATCAGAACGGGGTGTTGTTCTCTACCTTAACCGCATGGTTAACAGCCATTGCAAGTTATGGACAGGGGTCTCAAATTATTTTTTTCGACTGTGGGGCAGAAAATTTCGAATGGGGAACAAAATGGAGGATGCTTATTTTAATGAAATAACGTCGTGTCAATCTAAAATACCCGGTGAGCTCAACTAAAGTCACATACTGCAAATAAATTAAAATCAATATTGTGAATCTTTTAACCATTTATCGTTAGAATTACACTGTCGTTTCTTCTTATAGTTCTAATTTAGAGTTCATTCTTTCAGAGCTAATTCTTCAAATTTCAAACAATAGATTTTTCCTTTCAGTTAGGTTTTATCGACAAATTCATATCACACATCTGACAAACCCTGAGACGCGCACGACATGAAGACAGGGACCTGAGTAGGTGCCGGACATTGGGAGTGTGTAACGAAAGTTTTTTGTCCGAGATAGTGTAAACTTTATTTTAAATAATTACCTTGTTACTGTTCTTTTAAATTTTTGGGGGGTACGCACCCCCACACACCTCCAAAATTCAGGCCTCTGCATGAAGAGTGATGTTTTTGGTGACGGCTCGAATCTCAGAATAACTCTATTGCTACAAACTATCCAAACATCTATTGATAATGATCTTTATGATAAGATATGCTAAAGAGGGCATAAATCTTTGCATATTATGTAATAACCCGCCAATCTTTTCCTCTCAAATATGACACTGAAGTAGTAGGACTTCAAATAAACTGCCAGTGGGAGACGAAATATGTCCCCCATAGGGGATTTATTTAGTGGGGGACAAAATGGTTGTATATGAGAACCCTAGTTATAGACGATCTAAGTTGCTCAATAAATGTTTGAGTTTTTTGTTCATACATGCACAGTAGGTAGAAGCGACATACTTAGGAAGTTTCTCAAAAGTTTTCCAAAGGAACTTCCTTCAAAAGTTACGGAACTTTTCGTAAAAGCCCTAAAAACAGGCTGAAACGATAACTATATAAAAGCGAAATTTCTTTGGTTTATATCTTAGTCTCGGAAGTAAATGAAGAGTCCACAATTGAAGCATAAGTAGTCGTGGTCGAATACTATCTATACCCAAGAATATATGTAAAAATAACTGTCGCATGTGCGAACATATACGCACAACAAGGAAGATTTTAGTAGCTCGAAGACTTTCACGTAATTTTTTTTACCAGAAAAATATGTTACTGCATTTAATATTACTTATATCTATTGTATAAGTGTATCTGTACTATAAACTATGAATTCATTTCGTACAAGTCCCTTAGTTGTTGTACGGATGAGCTCAAAAGGGATTAGAATATGAAAAATGGCCCATTTTGAAGATTAGTTTTCTCGTCCGAAATCTCTGAAAATTTTGGTGCTCATATGTCAATGATCAGTACTCATGTCAGCTTGTCAAACTATGCTTTGGGATTTATGGCATATCCAACTTCAGTTTTGCTGGTTTACTACTACACATTTTGCTAGGAACCATTGTGATAAACTAGTAAAACTGAAGTTGAATATGCCATAAATCCAAAAGCATAGTTTGACAAGCTGACGTGAGTACTGATCATTGGCATATAAGTACCAAAATTTTCAGAGATTTCGGACAAGAAAACTGATCTTCAAAATAGGCCATTTTTCATATTCTAATCCCTTTTGAGATCATCCGTACAACAGCTAAGCAGAGATGAGCGAGTACGAGTATACTCGCATTTCGGTCGCAGCTTTCGAGTGCTCTGTATGCTGAAAGCGCAGTCGTAAGTGTCTCATAAGAATCTTATAAGATTTTCATAAGAGGTTCGTAAGAAATTCATAATAAATACCAAAAACTCTTATGTTATTTTTATTTACTAGAAGGCAGCTTATGACTTGGTTTTGCGGATTTCTGTTATGATTAAGCTGCTTCTATTGGTTGGAAAAGTTCAGAAGAATTTTTGGTACTTCTTATGAATTTCTTACGAACCTCTTATGAAAATCTTATAAGACACTTACGACTGCCGATGGGAAATCTTAAACAAAGAAACTGATAAGATTTCGATAAGAATTTTGTAAGACACTGGTAAGAGACTTAGACGTTTCTGGTAAGATTTAATATAAGAATTCACACTGTAAAAAATAAAGTGGGCCCAAAACACACTTAACTTGCACATCACTTTGATTCGCATTTGCACATCTGGAAATGCACGATGTGATGTGCCAGAAACACACTGGCAAATTTACACACCTGCGAATATAGAGAGACTTTTACACACCTAGAAAAAAACACACCGGTTTGATTCCCATTTGCATACTTAGAACTATTACACATCTAGGGGCACACTTTATTTATTACAGTGCAGAGGCGGCAGAATGATTCTGAAACTAGGGGTGATCAAGGACAAGAACGCAAAGATAAAACAAGTTTCTGCTAGAAGAAAACGAAAATTTTCAAAATCTGTGAGTGCCAAGGCATCCACGACTTCCATGATTCTGCCGCCTCCGTAAGAATCGATGTCCAGGGATCTTTCGCTCTGAAGCTTTTTCGTGCTATGGAAATCAGCTACACTAGTGAGACAGGTGTTGAACTCGTCTTATCAGTTTAGTAGCCGAGAGTGTTGAGAGAACTTTTCATAGGTGTCCGAACATCGGTGTAAGGTGTAAAATAGATTAACGTGGTAAGACAAATCAAAGGCGAATTTTACACTACGTAAAATAGGCTTATATAAGTATATTTCCTTTATTTCATTCATCATTCATTTCAACTTTTCATCTTTCTCCTGATTTTAAGAAATAAATATGAATTTACTCAATACCTCAGCAAGAGAATTCAGCAACAAAATTTAAGTTGAAATAGAAATCAGAATCAGAAGAAATCAAAAGATTTGTTAAACGTGTATATAGTGTTATGTTTCACAATGAATCATACTAAAGACAATGTTTACATCTTACAAGAATTTTCTGGCAGCCGTCAAGTTTTCTCACTTAATTGCAACGATCCTGTTATAAACCACTTCTGTACAACTTTCAAAGAATAAAGGGTTTTGTGTAGAGATTGCTTTGACGCAGTGGAATTCTGTGCAATAGTTTCATAATTTTGAAAATCCACTATATTCCGACAAACAGACTTAGTTTTCCTCGTGAAAAATTATTTTTATAAAATAAATAAAACTGGTTATTCCGGGGCCAAGTAGAAGATCATAATCCATGATGCCTCTGCTGTTTCCTCAACATATGTATTTTATTTGGTAAAAAAGTCATTTTTTCTTGATCACTTGAAGTATGAGCCGTTTAACCCTTGACAGCTGTCAACCGGACCCCCGTTAAATTTTGTGTTTATCATCACTTCTCTATATTTTTTTTCATATGCCGGTAAAATTGCTGGTATATTCGCGGCCAGAGAGAGCATAAACGAGGCTTTTGATTGATGTATAACAAGTCTAAATCAAACAAAAATCTTCGAACCTTTCGACGCCTTTCCTAGTGGGTCTAACTGGATGCGTGATGTGGAATTATATTTTGACATTTAATATCTTACTGTTTACTTATGGGGCTAATACCGATTAAAAAGAGGCCATTTTATGAGAGAGTCAAAAACAAGCTATGTGTTAACTTTCTTTCTCCCATATACATCTTAATTATTATATCGTAGAATGATACTCTATCAAGAAATTTTTTAATAAACTTTTTATATTATTTTTCTCGATATCTTTTAGAAAAATGCCTTAGCATATTAATTTTTTCGCAGGCACTCTATTTAGGTCAACAAGAACACATAAACCATATGTCCTGTTCTTCAATATGTGACTCTTACATATATTATCATCATCATATTTTGTTTCTAAAAAACAAGGAACGAGAAAAATGATCGAACAGTTGTAAAGATGAACAAGAGTCTAGAGTCTGGTGAGAGAGAGACACAAACAAGTACGCTCTCATGCCAGTAGAATCCCAAATAAATAGAAATGGAAATATAATAACAAAAAAAACGAAAATAAACATACATTCAATCAAAGAAAAACAACATCGGATTTTCACCAGCAAAGCTATATAGAGATAAATGAAAAGAGTCGCTTTGATACGCTATACTTTAGTTACAGTCACAAATATTGAAAGACAGAAAATGTTTGAAAATAGAGAGAAAGAGTGAGTTAATATTATAACAGATAACAAGAACACGTAGGCTATATTCATAAATTTTAAATTCGTGGAAAAAAATTGTTGTTTTCCGTTATAGCTTAGTTAAAATACTTAAAATAATATGCAACGGGTTCAGAGTATTGAAATTTGCTACGAAAACCAAAAGACGAAGAGAAAAAAGAATGATCATACAAGATAACAACACACATTCACATACATAGACGAGAGAGAGTTCATATGCGACACAATAACCAAAATATTATAACATAGTAGAAGTTTTTTATTTACAAGACATAAAATAATGATAGTGAAAACAAAAAGAAAAATCTGAAAATCTAATGAAGTAAAAGTAAAGTGGAGTTGAAAAAACGAAAAGTAGCAAGTTATTTGGTTAAAAAAATAAATACACGCACGTATGTCAATTTCTTATTCACTAGAACTATCAACGAGTTCACCTTCTTCACCATCATCATCCTGTGGTGATTTAATTGTCTGTTTTAATACTTGTTTTTGTTTTTCGTCAGACGATTTTGGAATTTCATTCATGGCAAGATTAACGTTCTTTTTACTAATATTATTATTACTTAGTGACGATTCCAATTTGCTATCTGGTTCAACAATACATTTTTGCTCTACTTTAGTTGAATTTTGTTTTAACGACTTTGTCTCTTCAACATCATCATCATCATCGTCATCTTCCTCCTCACCGTCTGACAATTGCTTCAGTTCAGCTAGTAGTTTTTCACGCATCAAAGCAAGTTGTTCTAATTGGCCTAAATGAGAGAAAAGATTATTTGATTACACTATTATTGCTTTTTTATTGAGTTTGACGTTTTAATTACATAATTATACAATATGCAGGTCTTAAAAAATTGTATTATAAATCCTCGACAGCTACTAAAGCTCTTAGAAGAACATCACAGACTACAGTTTTTGGTTTATTGAAACTTTTCAATAGAAAATTAACTATAGATTAGAAACTTAAAAAATGTGCTCACTAATCGCTTCCAAGACGAATAAAGACGCTTAACTTACCGGTTTCATCAGCTTTTGTCTCGTTTTCTACTGAATCTTGTGACGATATGGATGATACTGATTTTGTCCTTGAACGAACTAAAGATTGTTTCACTTTTTCTTTTTTACCTATCCGCTCTTTTTCATCACTAATCTTCTTCGATTTTTTCTTATCTTTCAATATTGTCTGCTTATGTTTATTTGTATCATCAGACTGTGTATTTAGTGGTGTTGTTGCTGAAATTTTATTCAAATTATCAGTTGAAGTAGTGATAGTAGAAGACACTGTTCCTCCCCCTGTTATCCTTGCAGCTCGTTGAGCTTGTTTCATCGCTAAACGTTCTTCCGACTCATATTTATATCTGTTATTATTTGCATTTGTCGAATAGCATGACGATGGTGTTGTTGTATCATAGAGATGTTCATGAAATGGACGATGCGCAGGTAATGATGGACGAGTCATTGATGATTGTGCTGATGATTGCCAATAAACACGATTTGAGGGCATTATCGAATGATGTGGATGATTTTGTGGTAAGTGTCGAAGATGATGAAGCGTATGTGCTTGAGTAAATGATGATCGATTGGATGGATACCAATTGTCGCCAGTTCGATTCGTTGATGAGTGAAGTAAATGATGAGAAAAGGGTACTGTTGGATGTGATAAGAGAGAAGAAGAAATGGGAATCTTCGGCGGCAAATGAGCCGGCGTATCGTAAAAATAGTCATTGCCTTCATCGTTCGAATTCTGTGATTCATTATAATCACGATAATAGTCACTGTTATTACGTGCTAATTTTTTTCGTTCACTTTGAACTTGATGAGAATCGTCTTGAATAGATTTACTAGATTTTTTCTTTGAAGTTCGTTTATTGGTACTGTGATGACGTCTGCGTGTTTTTCGATGTTTGCTTTTTCTGGAACCACGAGAAGATTTTGACGATATAGATGAATAAGACACGTCAGACGAACTTGAATATGTTCGCGGACGATGATTAGATGATTGTACGTTTGATGAGACAGATGAGGGATTCACGGAATTTTTTAATTCGTCGATCAATGTCATTGATGTTGTTTTTAGAGGTTTATTATTAATATCTGCTGCTATTGCTTTATTCTGATTTGATAATGAAGAAGATGATCCGTTTTTTTTCAAATTATTAACATAATCGCCCTTTTTCTTGTTTCGTGAGGGTGATGAGATCTTTGATTTTGTTAAAGACGAAGTATCTAAATAGAATACATTTTTTCTATCGTTTATTCAATAGTTACTGAAGGAAATTTTTTCTTTTATTATGATAGGCGTGTTTCATGAGAAAACTAAAATGGTAACACTCAGACTTTCAGAATTTTCAGCAGTGCTCTTTCCTCTAATAATATCGAAAAAATGTTTATCTCCAGCTCAAATGGTACCTTTCAGAAAGCTTAGTTCAATCGATTTAGATGCCATCATATTAGTTTTCACACGCCTATTCACTTGAAATGTTCTAAGAAAGTCGTTGTAAAACAATATAAAAAGAGAATGACATTAGTAAAAATATTTACCTGTGATAGTTCTCTGTTTCGAATTTATTTTTGCTACTGATTCGCGATCACCCTCTATTTTCTTCTTATCACCTTTATCGTTATCCATCATATCTATTGCCATATCATTATCAGATAATGTTCGATATTTCGGACTATCAAGGTCCATTGGTACAGTTTCAAAATCATCAACACTCATCGTTGTAGACGGTTGCTTAGTAAATGATGTATTTTCTTGTTTTATTAATAAGTGAGTATAAGATAACGACGGTTCTCGTTTTATCGTTTTTAAAGGGTCATTCTTTATGTCTGTTGCTGGAGACTTTAACAATTCTTCATCAACAGCACGCATATTTTGTCGAAAAAATCTTAATGCATCATTTGCTTGTTGATGATCATTTTGTTGATCGTCATCTGACTCAGCTTCTTCCCAAAGAGACAACGCCTGCGTTGAGGGTTTTTGTTCGATAGCTACTACTGGAATTGATGATTCTTTGACTGTTTTTGTGACTGATAGGGGCTTTTGCGACAAAGAAAAGTGGGATGGAAAAAGTGTATCATTTGATGATAACGATGTATAGTTCTGTGTTAAGACATTCTCAACTAACGATTGATTTGTTTGTGAAACTAAGGGCTCATCTTCAAAAACTGATGGTTTTAATGGAGAATGGATAATGCCAAATGGAGACTAAAACGATAATATCACACGAGTAATAAATAATCTAGGCTAATCTATTTCATTATAATTTTCGTTATCTAAATCTTAACTTACCCGTGAGCTAGGTGATTGAGTCATTGCATTTTGCATATTCGTAGACTTTGAACGTGAATATATATTCGACTGATCATGATCATACTGTTGATGAGAATTATTGTTTCGTGATACAACTTGTGAACTGTTGGCATTATATTCGTTTGATCGAGATCGACGATTGATTGTATCATTCGATGGTGACGGTGATAAAGTGTTATGAGCAGGTGACATTTTTTTCTGATTATGAGATTGCCGATATTGAGAATGACATTTATCTTCATGCTCATTCTCTTTTGAATATTGTTGATAATGAGAATGAGAATTATTATTATATTGTGGATGACGATTGTGAGTTTGACGTTTTGCTGGTGAAAAAGAGGATGTCGGTGATTGAGAATCAGAATTCGAGGATGACGGACGTACATGTCGTCGAGAATGAGGCGAGGATGAAGTTTTGGATGACAATGATTTATTTGGAGAGCGTTGCCTTCCTCTCTCAGGTGATAAATAATTAAGCGTTAATGTTGATGAATGATAATCACTATCTAGTATAGAACGTGCTTCAATATTGTCATTCGTATTTAGCCGAAAATTATTTTCATCATCTTTATGTCGTTCATCATTTAGTTTTTTTTTTCCTATTCGAAAATTTTTATCAATACGATCTAATGAATTATTTCCAATAATAGCAGCTAATACATCCTCGTTGTCTGTTACTATATTTCGTTTTTCTCTATCATTATTATCAAATCTCTTGTAATGAAATATTGTTGTCTCATTTGATGGTTTATTTGATTGTGGTATTTTCGGTATTTTACCAAGCATAATTTGTGTCTTTTTTGTTGGAATAGCAGAATCAACAGTTGTAGGGATTTTTTGATTCAAATTTTTATTCACATTATCGTTTGTTGTCTTCTTTGTCACTGCAGGACTTGATGCATCGGATAACTTTTTAGTAGTTTCAATAGTGGGTTTTTGTGACGACGCTGAAGGTGCAGGTTTTGTAATTGTTTTCTTCTCAATTACCGATCGATTTTTGTTAGTATTCTCACTGTTTAATAACTGTGTTGAATTTATCGTTGACGTGACTTTTGATATAATTGATTTTTTTTCATCCAAGACGTTTGTAGTTGTTGTTGTTGATATAGGCAATACAGAAGAACTAAAAAGCGAGAGAAATATTGATTAGTGGGTTCTTTCTCCAGAAATATGTTATATACCTTGGTGCTTTATTAGTTAAAGATTGCTGTTGTGGTTTCGCTGGTTTAATAGAACTCGTTTTCTCATTAATAGATGTTTTTATTGATTTTTCAAGTTCAATTTTATCAGATTTGCCCACATCGTTGTTATCTGGTTTATTCTGACTGATTTTTGTAGTCACTTGATTTTTTACTTTACTAGTTTCTGACGAAACTTCATTTGGTAGCGGTTTTAATTGTGCTTTCGTTTTCAGTTTTACTTGTGGTTTGACTGGTATTGTGGTGGTCGTCTCTTTTTTCTCTACTTCATCGTTGACAACTATGATAAATTTGATTGAAGGTAAAGAGAAGAAGAAATTAATACTATTTCTCTATTACTGTACCTATATTTGTACAACACAAGAACGTTTATATGTTAGTACTGCTTACCTAGATCAAGATTTATATTCGTTTCCGTTCTTTCTCCGACTATTGAACAAGCTGTTTTAGTTTGTCGTGATTCTTCACCTATCATTATTGGCGTAGAATCTCTAATCGACTTTGTTAACAAACTTGTATCAGCAACAAACTTATCACATTCTTGATTATTCAGTATTACTGTTGGTTGAATTCTAGCTTGATCATACTCTTTTACATCACTGTAACAAAGAAAAAAATGTATAAAAGTGATTCTCTATCGTATTAAAGTGTAGTAACTAGAACTATACTAAGAATCCCACACTGATTACGATTTCTGTTCAACTATGACAAAATAGTGATGAAAACACTATTGAGCTATAAATCAATGTCATCACGTTGGATATTTGAAATTCAAGGAAATATCGTTTTTCAAAATACATTTTAATGATATAGTTTATTTACTTCTGTTCAATTTGTTTTAATATCACAGTTTGTTTGTTTGATACCTCATTATTATGAGTAGTGACTAAAATGTCTGATTGATCTGATAATGGCGTTAAGAGCGTTTCTGATGATACTGAAGAATCAGGAACTAATTTTAATGCTTCCATAGGATGTTGTTCAGATACATTGTTCATATCACTCACACATTTCTGTCTATTTCGTGTAAGTGTTTTATCTACTGTACTATTTAATGTTGTTAGAGCTTTATTTCCTTGTTTGTTATTATTTGGGATAATATTTGCTGTTTCAGCAATAATAGAAGAAACTTCTCCCTCTTTTTCTTCATGAAGACGTGATGAACGACGTCTTACAGAGCTATTGTTCGTTATTATTGTTGAAGTATTGGTTACTGTTGAGATTGAATCATTTGAAGTAGCAGAGACTGCAGTAACATCTTTTAATGCCTCACTAGTATTAATGTCATCACTAGCTGTTTTTTTTGTTCGACTGGATTTACGTGTAACAAGACTTGTTGAAGATCGACTATTTTTAAGTCTTTTATTTTTATTATTGTTGTTAATGGGTTCAGAAATTGACGTGCTTGGTCGCTGTTGTTGAATTGATGATTCTGATGATAACAGCGTTTCTTGATTTATTATTATTGATGAAATACCTTCTTGATTTGGGGAATATTCGACGGAAGATTTATCGTCATCATCTGCAGTGTCATCATCGATTATATCGTTTTTTGTTCGATACGCTAAAGTATTTTGAATATTAATTGTGTTTAAGAGTTCTGAAGATCGACTGATATATGAAGATAAATGTTCATCACTATTTTTCGAATTTAAATCGTTTAAATTTTCACTGATATCATCGTTGTTATTTACTCTACTAACTTGATATTGGCCGTCGATTTTTTGAATTTTTGTTTTTATAAATGATGCACTACATACTGTATCGTTATCTGATGGAAGAACATGATGAAATTGCACACTTTTCCGTTTGGTTGCACGTTGTGATGTTATCACTTTTGGATCATTCATTTTTGTTTATAAATTATACTTATTATTACACAGCACTAAATCTAACAACAACAAAAAAAAGAATCAAACTTTTATCAGAAAAATTAACTGCATATAAATATACCTTAGATCATTAATCTTTTCGATGATGTCAAATAGCACGATGATTACTGTTACTTTCGTGTTCAATGTAAAATAAAGACATAATATAATTAGTTTTTGAGAGATGATGAACAAAAAACAAACAATAAATGAATAAAATCACACTTTAATATAATTATTATATAGACAGAAAATCTAAAAAAGAACATAAAATCAACATCGTCAACTCTCATGTTAGAGAAATGCTCTATACATTTTAATAAACATAATATTCATATTTGACGAGAACAATTAAAATTTAGGAAATGCTGAACTCAGCTGCTATGTTCTTTTGAGTATGATGTTACAAAAATTCTCAAATGAAAAAAGAGTTTCAGAATGGCATGACTTCAGCCTAGACAGATCGACTTATATAATGAGTAACAGAGTATATAACACATGTCAGACGTTCATATCATCTTCAACAATCTAAAATTTGTTTATATCATGCTTAATCATTCTTCAATAAGCTTATGGTTTTTTTCGTATGTATCTTTGTCCTCTTATCTAGTAAAAATAATATTTAAGTAAAAAATAGAAGTAAAAATTTGGACAGTATTAAAAACGTCTTGAAAAAACTAAATTTCAATGCCTAAAATCATGCAAAACAAAAGTATTTGGCTAACGTTCAAGTTCACGTTCCTGTGCAACAGATAACGGTTGTTTTCTAAAAGTATTTTCAATCATTATCTGTGTTCGTCTCCATAATGCATCTGTTAATTTTTTATTATGGACCATATGAGATGGATGACATTCGTAACAGTTATTAAAATAAATAATACTTGGATTATGTAAAACACAATTCATTGTTGCACAAAATATAACTGTAGCAGCGGCTTGTTGCTGTGAATAAAGCAAAGACAAAAAGAAAGTCAAATTTCGTTTATACTGAAAACAAAAAGCATACCAATGATTTTGTGAACGGATAAGCAAAAAAAAATAATAATCGATAAAAGTAAGAATTTCGCGTTAAACCGGAATTAATGGCATTTCCAGGATGGCAGGCAACACTATAAATTTCTAGAACGAAAAAAGATAATGTGTTACTGGAGAAAATAAAACACGAGATCTACGCTGAACTGTTTAAACATGACATATGCTTCAAAAAGTTTCTGTATTTTGTATTAACATTTTACATATGTATTTACACTTATAGACTATTGTGAAAACAGATAATGTATAACTTCTTAATAATTTTGACAGTATCCGTTGGAGTTGATTTAGAAACAAAACTATTCTGGGGGAGGATCAAAGTCTTGACCTTGAAGTTTATGAAATTTACACTTTATCTACTAAAACATGAAAAATAAGTATCTGTTTCCTCACGCGGCTTTTTCATTTCCTGTCATATATAAGATTAATGCAGTTGGATCTTGTGGTGATGCAACTGCAATAAAAGCATGAATTCAACAAACTTATTGATATAGTCAACTATTTATCTTTTTCAACTAAAATCACTAGTACAGTAGTAGTATACTTACGTGGATAATTTCTTTTTAATTCAGCGATGAACATGATTAAGCACAGTTTAGATTGACCATATGCTAATAAATGATCAAAATAAGCTGGAGAACGTGAATTTAAACGTTCAATTTTAATTCCATCAACTGTCGATATGCCAGGACTTCTAAAATGAAAGGCACAAATATTTTCAAATCTATGGCAATAAGTTGAGTCATCTTACTCAACACGATGTGCTTCGCAACTGACGGCAACAACACGTGTTGGACCTTTTGATTTTGTTGTTAACAAACTTGGTAATAGACTCATTGTTAAATAAACTTGTGCTAAATAGTTAACCTGAAACATTTCTTCATTGCCGTCTTCTGTCAAATCAAGTTTTGTTTTTAAAATACCCGCATTCAGTATTAACAAATGTAATGGTCTAAACTATTACACAAATATGTGAGATAATAATACTCGAATGTGGTCATGATTTATCGAAGAACATACAAACGATCTTGACGATACTTTTCACTGAACTGTTTGACACTTCTCAAAGAACATAGATTTAATTCTCGACAACTAATATCAATATTTTTCTACAAAATAATAAAAGATTATTAATGTTGGTTACACGAACGATTGTTTTCATATACTTGTTCCTGTCTTATTTTTGCACAAGCTGCTTCTCCTTTGGTTAAATTACGACATCCAATAATTACGTGACAACCATGTTTTGCTAATGAGCGAGCAACTTCAAAACCTGAAGAAAAGAGAACAATAAACAAATGATACTGCTGGTAAAAACTAAATGTATCAACTTTACCAATGCCAGTAGTTCCTCCAGTTATTATAGCTGTTTTATGTGAGAGATCTTTTCCATATAGAATATGTAACGCTGTTGATTGATGACCATACGAAGTACTGAGATCTTCTGTTGATGCATCTTGTTTTAATATAATTCTAGGATCAACTATACTGTATCGTTTGTTAAGTTCACTAAAAACAGAAAATACTTTGTTAAGATATATTTTTGAATCTAAACATCGCACATACATCAGAGACTTTAGAATCAGTGACAATCATTGCTCAAAAGAGTGATTATTTTTATTGAAATAATCTTGAAAATAATCAATTGCTCAACTGGTGTATTTAACATAAATCAAAACAATTTTGATTTAAAACTAAACGTCCTATTTTGTTACAGTTTTGATTTACTAAATAAGTAATTTTTGCATACACAGATAGAATTTTAACAAGAAATGAACGTAGTGTAAAATCGTATTTTAGACTATAAATATTGTCTCCGTTTTTCGTTAAGTAATAAGGAAAACACAAAGCCAAAAGATATCATTCATGTAAGTTATTTTTAGATCACTTTTTAAAGTAAGATTACAAAAAAAAGTCATAAAAGTTTATACTTACTCAACGTAGACGACGTTTTCATTTTTTTCCATGACTTGTTTCCATCCAAAAGGTAAGTCTAAACAGAAGCAAAAACGTAGAAATAAAATTTTACAATTTGTCAAAAAACTATCATGTAATACCGAAACAGATGAGATGACATGACATGATGGAATAAGATTCTGCAAGAGAATACAGATAAATAAAACTTTTGTTCAGTTGAAAAATCCATTTTGGCTATTTTGTAGCTTTAGAAAAGTACACTTATGAATGGAAGGAGAAAAATATTACCTTCGTTTTCGCGTACCTTTCGGTATATACGTCATATTTTTTGTTAATGGATGTTCCCATTGAGTTTCTTGATGTTCATGACTTTAAAGGAAGACAAGAATTTTTAAATAATAAAACTATTATTCGTACTCATACTCTATATAAAAAACTTGGCCACTACCAGTGACACCTTTTTCCCATAATGTTGGCAGTTCATCATCAGAATCGTCCGATTCTGTACTCGTCATTGTTGATAAGCAAAAGTGATTTTAAAAGTCTAAAAAAATAGTGAAAAGTAAAAGATACTGATTTTTGGTGAAAAAATGCTAAAGCTATTCATTATACAAATGAGAAGCGCATCAAACTATGATCGACTCCATATAAATAGTAATTCAATGTTTCTGGAGATTTCGATCTGTAAGAATTACTTTTACAGTTAAACAATTAACAAGTACAGAGTAAATCAACCAAAAATTAATATTCTGAGTGAGAAAACAATCGTTTACAGAGAGAAAGTAAAAGACATACTAATCTTGACAAGTTACCAACAGTATGTATGTGATATAAATATGAAAATCCAAACAATAATTTGCTGAGCATCAGTTTTCTCTTTTTGTGATTGTGTTTTTAGGCATTCAAAACTGAGGAAAGAACGAATAAAAAGTTGGATGAAAAAAGATAGAATACAAAAAAAATGAAAAACTTTTCAAGGTTTTATTAAAAAAGTTCATTTTCGTACACAAAAAGTCATACATTTTAACATACGGCAATAATAGCCATTTGAAACAAGAAAAACAGAGCAGTAACACACAAATAGAAGTACAGATTGATTAGCGAATTGACAAGTGGACATTTCACAAAAGATCAATCAGTTTTACTCAACCGTTAGAGTTGATTGAGCAATGCAAAAATGCTAGAGAAAATGTTGTTCATCAATTTGATTACAATAAGCGGTGCTAACTATCATTATCAACTAGAACTCCCGACGATTTCGAGCTTTTTACGTCTTTGTTCGCACTGTTTTGCGTCTGATTTGTACTTGAACTACTGTCTTTTGCCTGTTCCTTTGTCGATTCTGATGTTGAATCACTGCTAGAATTAGTCAATTGTGGTTGTCTTTCATTTGCAAAATGAATATCATATTTTTCTTTATAGGCTTGTATTTCTTTCGATTTTTCTTCACTTTTTTGTTTGTATGTATCAATAACATTTTTAATTTGTTCACGATTTGATTCTACAGCAGGTAAAACTTCTCCAGTTGTATGTTCAATTAACACACCACCAATCATACGATAACATCGTCGTTGTTTATCAGTAATTGTTTTCAATGTCGACAAAACAAGATCATGTTCTTTTAAATCCATTTCAAGATCCTGTGTTTTACTAACCAATTGTGTTTGTTCCTCGCGTAATGCTTGAAAACCAGATACTATTTGTTGTTGTTGTTCGTTTGTTAATGACGTTCCGCCTGTCTTCGATTTTGATTTAGTAGCCATTTTTGTATCTATTCTCTAAAACTGAAAACAAATTTGGGTGACAGGCCAATTGAAAATAGAGTTACACATGAAAAGACTTAAAATTCAAGTTAATTATTCCTCTGTTTAATAAGCAGATGTGGTGCTCTTGGACATGAACTTCTATTTGATTGTCAATTCTTCTCTTCTCTCTCTACTAGTTTATGAATTTTTCGGTATTAAAGCAACAGGAACCGAATTGCTCCAGAACACGCACGTACCACCTTTTCAGAAATCTTTGACTGTCATCTTTTTAAATATTGAATAGAGAAGAATTGAAGAAATGAAAGGAAACATCATCACCATCTACCTCATGTCGAACAAAGTTTTCGATCTTATGATAAGACACAAAAAAGTGAAGTCAAAAACTTCGTTTCTTCGTCAATTTACGCTTGACTAATATTGCATCAAATTTTTTCTCTCTATAACACAATAGCAAAAATAAGATCTAGTTCGAGCAATAGTAAAAGATACTTTCCTAATAGAGAAAAGAAAGCTATAAAAAAAGCACATAAAAGCTATTCATATACGTACAACAAATGAAAAAAAGAAAACTGGAATAGATAATGTCAAAATATATAAAACAGAACAAAAATCTGTATAATAAACGGTTTAAAAAAAATATTACAGTAAAAAAGACAACACATTTTGTTTACAATTCTTCATACGAATATTGATGACCACAATCGAGGCACGTTTTTGTATATGTATCTGTCAAATCGTCATAGATAATATTATTCTCGTCATATCGATGTTCATGTATTGTTTTCTGTCGTTTTTTATTTGTACTTGATCTTACTTCTGATTTTAAATTTTCAACATGTTTTTCAATTATTTTTTGTTTTCTTTCAATACGTTTTTCTTTTCGTTGTTGAATTTTATCATCTAATTGACTTTCATGTACAATATTTGCCAATTTTTCAATTTGACAACGTAAATAGAGACGCATCTGACCCCGTCCACGATTATGTGGATTTTTTTTTATTATACATTTTAATACTGGTTCATGTTTATCTAAATCATAATCTTTCAACATAAATTTTTCTTTCGCCTCGGTACGTGGTATCAAAGAATAACGTTTACTACTACTGTCAATATTATCTTCATCGTCATCATCATCACTGCCCGTGTCTTCTATTGAATATTTATCACGACATTCATCACAAACTTGTTCATCAAAATTTTTATATAAATAGGACGATAAAAATATACGTTGACAATCATTACAAGGCAAACCAGGTTGATGTAATTTAGGATCGATAACATCATTGAGTGACATTATTTTTGGCTGTATTATATCGACCAAATCATATTTATATGCCGCTGTTTTATCTTGATTTAAAAAATCATCGGTATCGTCTATAAAAAAACCGGCACCGGAATCAATTTGATGTTTACGAACTGTTGATGTTTTCTGAGCACATTCACGTCGTAACAAAGCACGCGCTTTATTTCGTTCGATGCGTTCTAACTGTTCAGCTGTTAATGATTCATTTTTATTTGTCATGGTTGTGGACATTGTAGAAAACGTTATCTATAATAAAGACACAATCAAATTAATCCACATTACTTATACAAAAAACAACACCAATTGACTAAAGAGGTAGATACATTGCACGACCTTCACACAATAAAAGACCCCTCTTGTAAAAGTTGAAATAAAAGATGTGCACATAGAGAAGTGAGAAAGGATCATTCTTCGCATGCGATAAGATAACAAAATGTATATTTTTCTATCGTTCATCAACCGCTATAAAAAACACAATGCATGCGACAAAAAATACGTGGAGTCGAATGAAAGAAAATAACCCGTAATAACCACTGTTCTCAAATTTTCTCATAACTCGTGTGTCTCTCATTGACTCGTAATACTGTGTAATAACCGAGACGAAATTCAAATTTGCTCAAAGCATGAACTTGAAAAAACGCTTTCTTTTTTTAACACAATAGAAGATCCCCTAAAATCTTTATTCTTAAGAACAGAATGGAACAGTCGGGTGTTTAAAAAGTGAGAAAGTATGCTGCAGAACAAGTGACGAAAAAAATGGGAAATAAGCACGTGGAACACTAGTTCTAAAAATAACCTGATCAGAGTTCCCAGATGCTCAGGTCAGAAATGCGGAATAAAAATCCCAAAATGCGGAAAAAAAGCGGAAACGCATTTTCATGGTCTAACTTCAGCCGTTTTCACGCACAGAGAGTCCAAAAATTGTTGTCTCTAACACTTTGTGGTTTTATTCAAATAAAACACAAGAGAACAACAAACAGAAATGTATGTCTTAGTTTAGTTGACACGTTGTTTTTGGACTGTATATTTCTTATTAGAATGAATAAGTTTAAGCAGATCTGGTGTTAATGAGAAATAATTATAAATTGACGAGTGACTGGCTACTTAGTTGGACGAAAAAAGGAAGAAGAGAATCCTCAATAGATAGAAAATTTTCTTTTTAAATCTTATATGAACAGCGGAAAAACAGCAAAAGCAGAAAATGCTTAAAATACGGACAAATTGCGGAAAGAACTCCAAAATGCGGACCATCCGGGAACTCTGAATCTGACACTGCTTTTAAGTAGACAAAGATGTATATCCAATACAGAAAAGAAAAAACAATATTAATCTATTTAAAATATTGATTAGAGTTGTTCAAGAAATGCTCTTAAATTACTTTCTCTCTTTAGAAATCGACAAGAAGCATTCTGAAATGTTTGTTTTAATTTTTCATTTGTTTTTTTGTTGTCAACTATTTTCTGTTTTTTGTTTGACGCGTCAAGACTTATTGATGTATATTGTTGTTTTAATTTTTTCTTCTCTAAATCTTCTCTGGTGGCACCGTTGAAGCGACGTATCTCATTACAACTTGTACATGTCACAGAGAGTTTTGTGTGTGAACGACAATAGAAACTGTCTAATAATAAACGTTTGTATGTTAATGGTGTTAATCGAGTACGTCGATATTTTTGTAATAAACGTTTGATTCTCGTATTAGCACGCATTTTACACGTGTACTTGTATGAAGTAGATGAATATTTTTCTGAACAAGATGGACATTTTGACGTTATTGTTTTCATTGTTAATGGATCACGATTTTTTTTATATAATGGCGATATTATATTTATATAAGATGTAAAATAATTTTTCATATGATTGTTCGCAAAGTGAGGATTTTCTTTGCATCCTATTAAAATTTGTTGTATGAAATTTTGACGTAAACGTATCGGAATTATATCGGACGAATTGGACATTCTAAAAAACGGAGATTCATCACATAGACTATGATAACATCGAGTCGATTTCATAACTTCAATCGTTGCATAGAATATAGACAAAGAACAGTGGATTTTGTTTTGCAGTTTACTGCAAAACTAAGTTCAGGTGTTCGAATCTCTATTCGTACAAGAATTGATTTTGTATTTTTCGATAGTTTTAGTTTAGAATAACTATCATGGAATATTCTTCCGCTTGTATTCTGACAGAATAAAGTTTATATTGTAGACTATAAGATGTAGTTGCATCTATCGAGTCAACTCAATATTCCAGCGTATACTTCATAAAGTTCAAAAATCTAAATGCAATCAAAATCAAGTCCAGTATGAAATTCAAGTCACTTAACTTTGAAAGACAAAGATAAAGTTTTCTATTGAGCTGTTCTAATTTTTTTCTTAAAAAGGTGCCTGATTATGATTTAAGTCACAATTAAAGTAGATGTCAAACTTCACTCGCACTTCAGATTTGTCGTTAAACATTCACTTTGCTTCTACTTCTTCTACTAATCATTATGTTGGTTATCCCGTTTTTAGCAAACGATTTAGCATAGGTATCCGTGCATCGATCTTAATGATTAGTGCGAAAGTTTTTACACAAAAATTTTTTCTCGTGCTTAGAAAAGATTTGAAAAAATAAAAATAGGTGACTTACAATCGCTGTTCAAAGGGCTTCTTAACTATGTGTTTTAAACACCGTCGATCATTCTTTGTCGATAAGCAGCAAGATCATCTTTGAAAGCCTTGAATAAAACGTGTGGACTATTGGACGTATAAAAGAAACCGTAGTTTCACAAAACGTTTATTCCGGTAGAATTGCATTTTAAATAGAATACAATTATATTTTTATGCAATTTTGTAGCTTGGTACAGCGAACTTTTTCAACGTCGACAGAATAAAAAAGTTCTGAGCTTCTTGGTGAAAGCTACTATTCAGATAAAACACAATTTGAGCAAAAATGTCAGTTTTGGAAAATGAGACTTTGTGTAGACGATAAACGTGAACGTGTTTCCAATAATTAAAAAATATACAAGTTAGTAGAGAAATGTTTGCTCTACAAACTGATATACATAAATAGCCAAACAGAAAAGCACATAAGGCGCAAGGACCAAAATACAAAGTGAAGAAAAAAATCCGTTGAAACGTTTTATTCGAGACTTTCAAAGATGATCTTGCTGCTTATCAACCAAGAATGATCGACGGTGTTTAAAACGCATAGTTAAGAAGCCCTTTGAACGGCGATTGTAAGTCACCTATGTTCATTTTTTCATAGCTTTTCTAAGCACGAGAAAAATGGAGAAATATTTTTTGCACAAACTTTCGCACCAGCCGTTATTCTCGATAAATATTTCCATTACATCTCTAATCTAAAAGAAAAGAGAACAGAGACACTCTAATTCAAAGAAAAATTTCTCTCAATTTAAGTGCTGAGCCTCACTTTGAATTCGCTACAATGTTTAAAAAAAGTGTTTACGAAGGCATGGCACATCCTTGAGCCATTGTTTAAAAAACAAGGATCAGTACACTGTTAAAGAAAACAGTTTCTACGGTAAAAGTGTGATATCGCCGTCACAAACTGGAAGCGTAGTGATTTAACAGTGATAATGTAGCAATTTCGTGGTTTCAATGATACTACACTAAAAACATGCCAGTTTTATCGTACAAGATTCTACATTCTATTCATGAACTTACTACACTATTAACATGAAGCTGCTACATTTTTCATGTGACAGCTGTAAAAAGTTTAAACCAATTTCCCAATCAATTTTCCCAAAATTTCACGACAAAATATATTTGTTGAAACTGCTCACCTAAAAGTTGTATTCTCCAACGAAAAAATGAGCAAAATCCTCCTCAAAGATGAGAGAAAATAGCATCACTCACGTCAACGCAAACGATGAATATTGATATACGTGTTTTGAATGTTTCATACACGTTTGAAATGCACACTGCTTACGCGTGTTGAATTAGACATTGCGGATGCGTGTGTCTTGTTCGGGACGCGTACAAAATACGTGTGAAACATCTGCATGATTTAGGTTTCTTTTTAAGCACTCATTGGATATACGTACCCCAATGATCTAATTACTTATCGTTTTCTTATCGCCCTTGCAAGGGCGATAACACAGGCTGACAGCATGCTGTCAGCCTGTGTGAACCGATTTTTCACTATTGTATTTTCACTAGTTATAGTGTCTGAAGACTAGATACACGGACAATTACATGCAAATACTTATGTAACCTTTGCCACTACACCGCGGTTGTGGGATTTAATGACATCCGAAATTCTTCAGGCAGATTAGCTTAGTGTTCACCGTGTAGGGAGACAAGCTCTGTAAATCTTCATATAATTGATCTTGCAGCTATACTATCCCAAAATGTTACGGTAAATGTGTAAGAATGTTATCGTTACATTGTCACACCTTTAACATGATATTGTTACACATTTACCGTAACATTTTGGGACAGTGTAACCTTCAGACACTATAATTAGTGGAAATAATGAAAAATTTGTTCACATAGGTGGGTAAGGGAAACGTACCTATGTATTTGTGCTTCAATTACTGTTGTTATTTTCGTTCTACTTCTATAAATAAAAGTCAGTTTTTTCGTATAGTTATTTATTTATTTCAATTACGTTTTCATTCCATTTGATTAGCTAATTCAAATACAGTCATTTGTGGAAGTGAAAACGGCAAACATCTAAAACAAAAGGCCAGAAATGAGAAAGAAAAGTGCAAACAAAACTTGAAGAAATACAAATCTTTCGGTACTCTCAACAGCAAAATAAAAAAGGTGATAAAGTTTCGGTGTTTCCGAAACCCATTTGACATCTATTTTTATTAGTAGTATTTTATCCACGTTGTTATTCTCTTGATTTTGTACCAGTGCAGCTGAATTTCTACAAATTAAATGAAACACGAAAGTAGAGTATATGCATTGGATCCGGATACTATCCGGTTACTTCGTTTTTCTTGATTGACGGAACTTTTCATCTTCATGGTGATCATTGAGACATTTCCTTTGATGGTACTTAATCGTTCATCATCGGAAATCCCGTTTTGGATTTCAAACGTTGAATAAAATTTCCTAGCATATGTACATAATAATTTTTCGTGTCATTGTTAACCTCCAATGTTTGACAAGAAAATATAAATATATTTCTAAACACAAATGAAAACAATCGAAAACCGATTGATGTGGGACATTCAAAATATCGTTTAATGACGATTTTTCAATAAATCCAAATGGTCTGACGTGTTTTTTCTTTGATTTTATGATAAGTTTTACACACTAATTAATATGTTCTTGTGTTTTTGTTTGTTCATCAGTTTTCTATATCCTATTCCATATTGACTGTGCTTGTACAGCATATGTTTGTGAATTGTGCATGGAGATCCTTTTACTAAACATATTGTACAGGAAAAAAGTCCATTGTGACTGTTAATTTTATTGCATTTCGCACGTGCTGGAAGATCGCCGACTGCCAATTGCACTTCTACATCACAGTGTACTACTCCTAAAATAAAAAAACAAAACATCCGGTGGAGTTCCTCACCCATGCTAAGGTATAAGAAAGCTTTTGGCTTAATAGTTGTTTTTCTCACATATTTCATCAATATAAACATATGAACCACTACATTTAGGACTTTCGAATTGTTAATCATAGAGGTTAATAATATACCAGCACTTGAACTGATCTGTGAATGCCATAATCCAAGCTGAATAACATTTTTTTCGAATTCTAACTGGTAGAGATCTCGATAATACGAGTCACAATTTAAAGCAGAAAAAAAAGAAAACTTATATAGTCCGTCAATCATGCTTCAATCATGTCACTGACGGGTCACAAACTAGATTTGCTAGTTTTTAACATAGATTTACCATCTGTACTGATTATCAAAATGAAGTGGATTTTGTTTCTCAGATAAACTATTGATGTAATGGTCACCTAGAATAAATACACAATGCTGTTAAAAAACTATAGAATTAGAAGACAAATTTCACTGAGATTCACACTAGACTTTACATTATTTCAGTTGATTTCTTTGTCTGGTTGAGGTGAACTTCTATTCTTATGTGACTGAGTTTTAGCCGTGGTCCTTACTCTGTACAATATCACACGCTACATTTTTCTTGTGTTTCTGATACCATTTGATAAATTGCATATTCGATCTGACAACTAGTTTTAGTTCGTCTGGTATTGACATAATGATCAATTCTGAATTCAATGATGACTTTCTGAATTCTGGGTTGAAAATCTACCTTTATGTAATAAAATTATACAATTTTATTACATAAAAGTAGATTTTCAACTCATTTCTTTAAGCACTTGAATTGTTTTAGAAAATAACAATGGAGGCAGCAGTGTGGAAGCACGCTATGGTATGTTTGAGGCATGATGCGTCAAAGAAATAAAAAAATGAGGTACACTGTAAAATCTGACATTGCTGCTAAAACTTTTTTTGCTATCATGTCCAATTGAGCTAGTATAAAGCAAGAGAGTTAAAGTTAACGTTTGAAGGAGTGCGCTTTAAAAACAACCATTATACAGTCATAACGTACTGAAAAACTACTCGAATAATATTTTAATAATGTAAAAAAAGTTTGCTTGCTGAAGAGTCTGTCTCTTACATAACGGTATGAAACAAATATAATGTTAGCTTCAATCAGAGGTACAGTTGTGTGACGAGAAGTGTGATGTACAATGTATCTACTTTTCTATGCGTTTTTTCTAGCATTCGCACTATTTCTCAAAAAAAATATTTTTGCAGTCTGCGGACTTTTGAGTTGAAGTCTCTGAATCGAATAACATGAGATAAAAAAGTACATTCACCTAAGGATTCTAATCAAATATTCAACAGAAAAAATATAGATAATACATGTCTGTTCACCGATTTCTCAACGCTTGTAGTTATTACACTTTTGATAAATCGTGCAGAAAATTGCTAATGCAAATTAAAGTGAGCACACGATATGATAAACATTTACGTTCAGAAAAAATTCTAAAGATTGCTAGTACGTACCAGAATATTGATAACATTGTTCAACTTTACAGTTTTTGTTATATGAGAACAACACTAACTAATCTAATTTCATTGTAACAGTTAACATAACCGAAGAAAGTGTAGCAAATATTCGCAACTCGGCATTATTCCCTGCTGTTCGCTTGTTCAAGTCAACATAGCACAGTATAAAAAGAAATTATATTTTACGTTACGTTACAAGTTTAATTCGTTCATCCAATTCCACTCTAATATTTTTCGCTTTTTTAGTTTTTTCTTATTTTCTTTTCAAGTCAGACCAATCAAACTTTAAGTTAAATCATAAACACTGATGATCGAATTTCTCTTCATAATTTCGATGTCTGCTTTGCAAATATCTAAAAACTCTGCGATTCACTGAGCATTTACTTTATTTACTATTATTGCAAAAAAAGAAACAAGAGTACAACAATAACAGTAACATCAGCAACAGGACGTTAAGAAAAAATGGTAAATCAAAGAAAACAAAAACGTGACAAAAAATAAATTGACCTAAATATCAAGAAAGATCACTTATGGATTGCTGAATAATTGCAAAAGACCATGATCTTCTTCGTTTAATTTTGTTTGATTTACTATTGGTGCACAACGTTTTGAAAATCTTAATAGTTGTGGTAAATTTGTTAATGCCAATGGTTCTTTTTTAAACATTTGTCCAACATTTTTTCCCATAATCGGTTGCACAATATGTTTTAACATGTCTCGTTTTTGTTTTTCGTTCAACGTTTTTATTTGTTTATTCATCTGACTTAAATTCACAATCATTTTATCACGATATCCATTCACTTGTTCAATTTTTATTGTAGGAATTTCTAATAAGACATTGTCGTAGAGTGTTGTCGATAATTTTTGTTGATATAATGTTTCATACATTAATATGGCTAAAGTTAGAATTGAACAAGCAATTGGCTCATTATCTCCATGTGTTTTTAATGAAGATAATACACGTATGAATAAATCTCGTAAAAATCCATCACTATTATCTCCAATTAATTTTGGTAAATGTTGAATTAGAGTATGACACATTGATAACATTCGATTTACAGAAGATGTATCAGGCCACGAAAGACCGTCAAATAAAATTAACAAACATGATTGACAAACATCAGGCGAATGTTGAAGAATATCTAAACCAAATTCACTGATAGAAAATTTAACGGAAATACGATGATTCGTTGTTTGTGTTTGTAACATTGACTGAGATTCAAGATTAGAACCATCGCCATTATCACCAATCATTTCGTCCGATATTTCATCGACAGATTGAACGGCAATATTATTTGAAACACTATTACGTGATAAAAATGTTTTTAAAATATCAATATAATCACGGGTAAGAAAACAGATGACCTGAACAAAAAAACAAAAGCTAGGTTCAATATGATAATTGAAATGTCATACAGTTTTACTACTATGCATACTAAACGTTAAGTAATCTCATGCTTTTATTACAATAATCGAGTAAACAAGTCTTACTTGTTCTTCGATGACTTCTTCTTCACATTTGTTTTGAGTTGCTTGCGTCTGATCTCCATTATCATGAGTGGTATTATCCTCTCCCAGGGAAGATCCACTTTGTCTATTCATTATTAATTTCCATTTTTCTGTTAATATTTGGCGCATAAATGGACACAACGTTTCTAATACTGGCATAAGAATAGTTGTCATATGTATTTTTGGACATTGTCTTACTAAAGGTAAAAAACAGCTTCTGATCAAATTTCTTAAACGAAAATCTGGCAATATATCCATGTATGAAAACAATGTATTCATAATTAACAGGTTTGCGTTCTCTAATTCATACAGTTCTGGTTTTAAACTAAAACAACATCCGACCAGTATTTGACAACGATCCATAAATGATGAAAAACGATTATGTAAACGTCGATCTTCTGCTTGTAATTTAGGCGTCGTAGTTAACATTGTTGTTGTCGATGATACATCATCATCCAAATCGAGTGCATCTTGTTTTAGATAGACCGCTTTTTCAGCATCCGTCATTGTTGTTAAAAATATTAATTTTGATTGATTTAATGGTGAATTTTGAGCGTGTAACGAATGACATAAAACTAAGAATTTAAATAAAATTGGAACTAAACGAATGTAGCATGGAGAGGCAGGATTTAACGTAAATAATTCGTCTTTTATAGTTATTTGATAGCCAACGTTCGATTTTTCATTGGGTAGTTGAATTCGACGTAGTATAGCACACAAAATATGAACACTCAGAAATAAAAAACGTTGAGTATTTGAAACTGCTGCTAAAACGAAGAACTGATGATTATAATATTCAGGAAAAGCCTGAATGATAGGTGTCTCTATCATACCTATCCTCATACTATCAAATCCAATATAATTGACAAATGCTTGCACATCATGAACAGTATTATTAAACGCTGATAAAAATTCAGTAAAGGGTTGAACTAATTGTGAAATTAGGATCGACTGTTGTTGATAATTATTAAAATGATTTAATAATATTGTTAGACATTCAACTAGCGTACTCCATTGCCTATATAATAAACAAAAAAAATGTCATATTATACCAACACTGAGTGATTGTCCAACTCACCAGCCTGATAAACGTAATTGTTGATTTTGATTTGCTTGTTGCACCAGCTCATTTGTTACCTTAAATAAATCATTAAAATAGCAAAATATATAATGTCCATAGTTCAAACATAAATCAATAAAACAACCGGATTGTTTTTGTACTGGATTTGGAGTTATTTTTAATGTTTGACGTTCAGTTGTTATTGAACGAAATAAATGTTCCAGAATATGCTGTGTAAACTGTTTTTCACCACATGTGAATGGATATAAACATGTTATCAAACGTAATGAATAGGAATATATTTCAATATTACTATTGTTATCATTTACTGTTAACAGTTGTCTGATTAAATTTTGTCCACGTTCACAAAATACATGTTCATCTTCATTCGATAATAGTTTTGGATTTGTATTGAATTGAACTGGACTATTCTCTTTTTCAATAATGATCAATGAACGTAAGTGTTTTTCTAATATTTGCCAATACAATGTTAAAGCTTCAAATGATGGTATATCATTTGTCGCCGTTTTTAAGCAATAGTCAATATAATCAAAGCCAATGCGAATAGTAACTGATAAATAATCATTCAAACAGCAAATACTATTAACAGAACGTATTAGTAATGTACGATATTTGGCAAAAAACTTTTGATAATCAGCTTCATCTTCAAAATCATGATGTAGATAATGAATACGAGTAGTGCGTTCAAGTGATGCACTATCAGAATCAACTAAATATAAAAGAAAATATTTACAAATTACAATCGAACGTTTAAAACGTTTTCAGAACTATACAAGAAATGTAAATTTCTTGATCTTTTCGCTATCACAGGTAAAACATATGCATCGATATACACCAGTTATATACGACGATAAATCGTCCGAAAAGAATGTTCTGAGAATATTTCGTATTTTCGTTTAATAAAACATTGAACATACCTGGTGCACCATTATCACCGTTCATTTGCTTTTGTTCATCATTCAGTGGACATCTGACTAATGAATGACATATTGAACGTAGAAGAATAGGCATAATAGATTCTAATAATTTTGATTTATCATTATTAAATATCGTTGATTTGATCAATTGTAACCACATCTGATAACCATAAGAAGAAACATATAAACTGGGATGTTGTATTATCGACAGTACAACATTGAGAAATGATCCATTTGTAAATTCTGTTGGAAGAGGAATTGTTGTTTTATCAGTATTGTTTCCACAGACATAACATAACTGTTCACATAAAGCACCAATAACAACTGTATACTGTTTCATATAGTCATAGTTATCTGTAGATATTGGTATTTTTAATTTTAATATATCATTGAATGTTGTGCCATTTTGTAGTAGATATGTGAATAAATGTAGTAATGGTTGACGTTCATCCTGTTTTCCTCGACGATTTGCCAATACACTAAGATATTCAGCTGCTTTCATACGATAAGAACTGTCGGATAGTAGATTTGTTACTTTTTGCACAATATTTGATGACGTAAAAAATTTTTCAACAGGAACAAATGTGGCAAACATCGTCAATGCATATAATGCATTCTGAATCAATTCCGATGAATATAGAACAGAAGATGGTGGAATGAAATTATTAAAAAATTCAATTAAATTAACCGATTGTTCTAATAATGTTGTTTGTATATCACGTTTTCGTTGTGATGTCAATGTTTGTAGAACGATAACATCTTCAACGAGATAAGCTAATATCAGAAGAACATACTCAGGTTTAGATGATAATTGTTGGAGTTCATTTAATAATGACGGCCACTGTTGAGGCCATTCACGTTTGGCTATCTCACATACACATCGAACAAGAGCAGCTTTCAAATGTTGAGGTGGTTGTTCGAGACGAAGCATTAATTGCCATAAACGTTCTTTAATATTAACTTTCTGTGTTGAGTCAAATGATGTCCATTTATATTTAATTGATTCTTCAATGCATTGCAATCCAAAGTGTTTCACGAGCCCTTCGTTACTATATTCGATTAAATCAAATCCTATGTGGATACTATACAGTGGATTCAATTTTAACTGTTCGATGTATTCATAGCCACTCTTTTGACAAACACTATCAGTGGATACACAAGCTAAAACAGCTAATTCTACTTGACGCAATAGATCAGTAGACACGGATGGAATGACATTCATCTAAAGTACATAAACAAAACTATTGATAAGAACATAGGCGAATTCTAACTAAATCTTACTTTATACTCTCGGCAACTTTTCAGTCATATTTAGAGACTGCTAAATTTGTAATTTACTTCGTCTCCTACTCGCTTCATTAAGCAATCGACCGCTATGAAAAACCATATTTTTCATGCGAGTTTTTCCAGGGTGAAACTTTCCAGTTCGCTCTAAAATTCAAGGCAGATAAACTGGTAACCATCGACATTTTTCTCTCGCGCGCCTTCACAACAAAATATTTCGTCTTCTACGATGCTATCTATCACCGTCATTTTCGTTAACTGAACTACCTGCGTGTTCTCATCCCAACGATGTGTTGAGTAAGTGGTCATTTTAAAAGATAAAGTGGTAAACGTTTTGTTTAGCATGAAGACCGGAAAGGAAATCAAATTTTGAAAACGCAATATCACTTTTCTACTGCTTGTACTACTAATCAATACAGATAGAAAAAATTTATTCAGACAAATAATAACGTAACTCGTTTCGGGGGCAACGTTCATCTCTCAACAGAATCGTTCTGCGGAAAACGTTTCATATTCTCAGAATTAAAAAAACCCTTAGAAGCACAAAACTGTTTTCATGTTCCTGACGCCTTTTTATGCGTGGTATGAATTTCAGATGATAAATATAAATTGAAAATAGATTGGTAGTTACTCAAAACATTCATTTTCGTTGAAATCAGAAAACATTTGGTGACAGAGAGAGAGAGAGAGACAGCTGGTTACTGAGTATTTTTTTAATTGGCCCATATGAACTAGTAGAAATTATTTAGCTTTCCTCACTACTATCAGCTAATCGACATACTTCATTCTAAAGCCATTTTAAATCAAAACGCGTTCTAAACATTTCACATGTTTGCCGCACGGTCACACGCTGTTCGAACATGTTCAAGGTGATCGTAGTGTTCAGACGCGTGCAGATGGCGTTTAGATCGACCTGGATTGTTTGAGATTGAAGATAATAGTACTGATGGTGCTTAATCGAGTCATGAAACGTGATTGATGTCTACGTATACTGGCACGCTGTTACAGACGAAGAGACGAATTTTGTCTGCACTTCAAACCATATGCATTATTCGAGAAGCATATAGTCGGTGGTGACTATTTTTACTGTCCGACCGACCTTACTGACCAAATTTGATTGGTGTAACCATGGGATAGACCAATCAAATTCGGTCAGTTAAGTCAGTCGGTCAGTAAAAATAGTCACCACTATATAGTCGAAGTTAGTTGAGTTCATACACAAGTCCACAATCTTGAGATCATTTCTGACGGAATCTTGATTTCAGTACTTTCTTCCTGAGAAAGCCATTTTTTTCAGATTTTCAGTCAGAATCTGATGGTGTGTAGTCATACGACCATAGCTCGTACAATCAAAAGCCAGTTGGGTATTCACCAATACACTTGAAATTAACAAAGAAACTCATTTTTGCGGGACTTTTTTTAGTACATATTATAGCTGATATCAAGACTTTTTAGAATGTATATTCAGAGTTCTCTAGCCAGATCAGGTCATTCTAATCTGAATCTTATTATTGATTGTATAGGATCAGAATCTGATAAGATTGACCTGAAATCAAGATTCTGTCAGAAATGATCTCAAGATTGTCGACTTGTGTAGGCCTCGTCTACACTACAAAAGTTAACGGAGCTTTAAGTGATCCTATTGGGTAAAAGTTAGTTTAAGCCAATAGAATTGCTTAATGCTCCTTTAACTTTTGTAGTGTAGATAAGGCCATAGCTTCTATGTAAAGGACGATAATATTCATTTTCATTGCAGTGTAGCTTAACCTATTAGGGCATCTTTCAACACATAATAGTACCGTTTCTAATATAATGGTAAATGCGTTGCAATTATTGCAATTACAGACCACTTTGCTTTTTCAAATTTACGCTTCATTTTTTTCTGATCTGATCTAATTTCGTCATAATGATTAATTTTATTGGCTTAATCCCCTTATAAATAATCACATAGAGACACACCTGTCTGTTTGTCTGATTGTCAGACAAACGGGTTGGTTTATGGTAGTTTCAAACAAATACTAGAATGTCACATTACTTAATAATTTACATAAAGGCCTTTTTCCTTGTTTCAGACAAAAATATTTAGCCATGAAAAATCATTAGCCGTTATAAAAAAGTAGCTGTTATGTTGTTGAACATGCACAACAGAGTTTGACAAGTAAAAGCGATTTTTCGAATCTTCGGCATGGCCAATTAATAAGTTCAAGTTTCTCTCTACTCATATAAAAATAATTGAAAACTACAGAAGCATAACTTCATAATTTTCAAAATAAGTGGAATATTGTTTCTGTTGCCACTCTGATTTGCAACTTCTTTTTAGGAACCTCATGTTTTCGTCTAGTGTGTACATATCCCGTTTTGCAATTGAACAATATTTTATCTGATTGTTCTGATATAATGGACAGCTGAGAATATAATAGAATATCATTCATATCTGTGTCAATCATTAACCAATTTAACAAGTCATCTTTACGAATATAATAACGTTCACCAATAATAAATGTTCTCTTTCTTGTGGATAGTTTTCCATTAACAATTGTTTTACGTCAAGTGGTAAGGGTAGAGATACAGGTCTCAAAACTCGTTGGATATTCATAGAAATACGAGAATATAGCGGATGGAAATTCTTATAAATTAACATCAGATGTTTAGCAGCATTTTGAACGTTTGAGAATTGAACGGGTGGTAATTCGATGAACGAGAAAATTTTCGTATCTTTACATTTCAGTTTTAATAGATGAATTTGTGATCCGCTAGTAATAACAATTACGCAATGTAATTTAACTGAAAAAAAAGATCGTGTTTTTGTATAGGCAATATTTATCGTATCAAATTCATTAATATCAATGGAATGAGTAAATTTAACGAAATATTTTGGTTTATTACATAATTGAATAAATAAATTTTGAAGAGATGTTGCGGCTGTCTGTTCACAAATCAGACATCTCACTGATAGTATCATGCAGAAAGTTAAAAAACGAACTTATTTTATGAAAGCTAGGGTGATGAGTTATTAGTTTATCCTCAACAATATTATCATTAATATTAACATGTGGTTTTAAATCTATCATGATCGTCTCATAATTAACGGTTAACTTAAAATTTCTCATTTGAAATTGACATCCAATTCTGTTATATTTTTCACATTTAAACGATACTGCAAAGGTCCGAGTTATTCATTTTTTGTACACATCGAAATTGTCACCTTCAGATATAATCTCTTTAATACCATCATCAAAACATAATGCAGGTCATGGACGTACTATTTGATGTAATGTTCACGGCGTTGTTCTTCCTTCAAATTAAAGTCAATGAGAATATGACGAATAGTTCGACGAAAACATCCTGACTAGATTTTCGTTATATAGTTGGAGTACAACTGACGGTTGTTTCTTGAAAACGTCAAAAGAATCTATCGGCTTAATTACTGTATCATTTACTGAATACCACTGATCACCATATGTTGAATAAACAACATAGTCTCGACAGTTTTCACGTTTTCCTTCAACTACAATAAATGAAACTAACTCATACGAACAATATTGATCAACAGTAACAGTTGTATCGGTCAAATATTTTTTTAAATTTATTGTTTCTAGCGGAAAGAATGGAGTCGATCGATACTACCGTTTTTCTACCAATAAAATTTACATCAAAATATACCTAGAATATTGAATTATTTAAAGATAAATTTATCCTGTTCGAGGGGAATACTCACAAGTAAATGGTTTGATAAGTGAACAAGATGAGTACTTTTCAAATTCTTTTCTGTTTCTCCACCGAGATTACATACTTAACATGTTCGATGTTCTTGTGATGAGAACCATTTATTAATTACCAAGTAAATACTTTGACCATCAGTCAAATTCATACCGATAAAAATTGAGAATGAACAAATACTTCTTTTTTCATTTGGCAGTTGGAACATATTTGACTTTCTCGAAGTATAATATTAATACCGACAAATACTTCTGTTGTAAGAATACCAATATGAAGAAGATAATCAAATGCACTTCATGCTTTTCCAATGTTTTTCAGTTCAGGTACTCCTGATGGTTTCTTAAGATTAAACATATAAGGCTCAATTACATTTCGTGTTACAGTTGATTCAACATTTGATTTATAAATTGAATCGTATCCTTGATAATCACTGCGTTAATTTCTTTTAATTTATCTTTATCCCTGGTTAGAATTTCAATCATTAATTCCGTACATAATAACAATAATTGTAAACATGCATTTAACGAATAATTTGACTAGAAATTAGACATCGGCATTGGTTTCAATTTTATCTGTGTTCTTAATTGTAATGGAACATTATCTAAAAGCAAGATAGAAGGGAGATTTCCTAGCTCAGAGTCAGTGGCGGATTTACGGTGCTAGCGGCCGCTAGCAACAAAATTTTTGATTTCTTACTGTTATACTCTCCTTCTTGTGCTACGTGCAGGGCGCATAGAACTTTTCATCGATTGTGTTGCTCTTTTGTACAAATTCACCAGCACCGAAAATTGTTTCTAGGTCCGTCACTGCTCAGAGTAAAGCTTTTGGTAAAATACCTTATAAGGAGAAATTATTATCATCAGTATCAACAATTGTTGAAATTAATACTTTGAATGGCTTTTGAGAATAGATACTTCATGTCGACTTTTTTGTTCTTATGCTGCGTACTCACTGTTCTTCTGCCTGCTTATAACTTCGTTTTCTAGCTTGTTTCTTCTGTTTCATTTTTTGTTTCACATGATAATTAGCAGTACTGATCTCCAATAGCACTATTTTACCGCAAGAACAACCACAACTGGATCCAACCGAGTATACGCTTTCTTGTTCAACGATACATTTTTAACATAATTCATTCTTGATTCCGAAATACCAGTTGTTCGTTTGATAAGACAGCCACAATGGATATAATTTGGCAAATTTTTATAACCATATCGTGAT